ACGTATAAGCATGAAAGCAGTGGATACATATCAAAAAAACTTACAGAAGTTGAGGTATGCAGTAGTCCGAAAATTGGGGTGAGAAACTGAATTTGGTTTGAGAAGTTGAAGTCATCATCTGCTCCTACTGTTGATTGCTTATTAGCGGATGTAGTCTTCTTGTCATATGTCTTCAAAGGGGATATTTTTGCATTGCAAGCATCTCCATCGTCTAACACCGACGATCCACTTTCTGATACACTTTTCTCTATGGAGTTTGCAAAACAGACTTCAGTTGACTTTCGGCCATAAGATCCTTTGATGGGATTAGAACAAGTGTATCTTAAATAGTTTGGGATTGAGGTGCATTCCATTAAAATTTATTAATATCCATCCTTGTGAATTTGAAAAGGCTGTTTTTTGGCTCATTCTCTATTATGGTTAAATTTCTATTAATGGCAAGGCTCGAGAAAAAAAAGGTAAGATCGAGCAGGGTGACATACGATTAGTATGCAACATGCCCTTTTACCTTTCACTTGAACATATCTCCTTCTCAAAATCCATAAGTGTATATCCTCTTCCAAGAAAGCAGAAATGGGACAATAAAAAATAGTTTACTATTGAATGTTGAAAGGTTTGTGTGCGTCGAAAACCTCAACCTTTCACTGGGTCTTAGTTTGATGAGTCTCGCTAAAAGGTGATTTGCAATGCTCTTAGTTTCATGAGTCTCGCCAAAAGGTTAGTCTCACCCACGGATGGAAACCATGGGGAGCATATTGTTTTTCCTTTATTTTTAACTGATCTTCTCAATCATCAAATTTGGAGCAGCACATGGCAAAATCAAATTTTGAAACGTTAACTCGAGTATCAGGAATCAGGAATAAGGTTGATGAATTCTGAATCAGGTGAAGTTGCAGGAACTAAAAAGTTGTTACCAAACGATCCTCCCTCCCGGAAAAAATGACTCATCATGGCAAACTTAAGTCTTACCAGCTGTTTCTTGAACTCTGTTCTTTCGAGGTTGGCATCCATCCGATAACGAAACATAGTCATTATCCGATTTCCATTTCAACCATGGAGCTGCATATCCAACAGGGNTGTTTCTTGAACTCTGTTCTTTCCAGGTTGGCATCCATCCGATAAAGAAACATAGTCATTATCCGAATTTCCATTTCAACCATGGAGCTGCATATCCAACAGGGTTAACGCTATCAGTCTATATAAGTTGTCATGTTGTTGTTGCTTGTAGTTTGATTGCTATTGGATAATTGCCTCTAATTTTCTTCTCATGATGCAAGTTTTTGATTTTTCTTTGTGTTCTTAGTCAAAATTGTTCCATCAGCTCAATCCAGACTTCTCTCTTTTGAAAGTATTACCTGCACACTTAACATTTGTTGAGAAACCACTGTTTATGAATTGTAGAGAAGAAATTTCAATCGTGGGTGGACTTTCTACTAATTACAGTTTGGTGTGGGTGTAGAGTGAAAGGATTGGCCTGCCTGTTAGGTTATTACTTCTGTCAGCAAACAACTCATGTATTTTATTAGTTCTTTTATCCAGATTGTTTTGTTAATAAACCTAGTTTTCATTCGTGTGAAAGCTGCAGCATATGCTTGGGCTATTGTCTTTCTACATGTATTATGGGCATAGGAATGATCTCATTCTTGTCCGGAACATAGCTAGCTACTTGCTTCTTACCTGTGGTGCCATTTACATTATATCAGTAAGTTCACAAAACCATCACGCTGCTACATGGCAATGACTTGTCTGCTAGTGTCCATACTGCTGTAGCTTGTAGTTGATAATTGATATGACACAATACCTCAGAGTATGATGTGTCCATCCTTGCTTCTTTCATTCCAACTCACCTCCCATAGAGGCAGATAAATGTCAATATCATTAGGAGATTGTCTTTACCTTCAGACAGGAGAAATCATTTCAAGAATGCAAGCAGTGAGCATTTGGTAGGCTATCGGAAGTTATGCCAACTAATATTCATCTAGTGGTGTTAACCATCATTTATTTGCATGTCCAAGTGCGGATTTAAGTGTGTTCACTTGGCCTCCATGACATATATTGTGTTGTTAAAGATTACTGTTTTTTGTTTGAGCATCTTCATTATGTAGCATTGCTTTTAACTTCAATTATGCCATATGTAAGCATGTTGTGGATGCATACCTCCTATTAGAAGGGTAAGAATATTTCTGCATACCTGCTATAAGAAGATTATTTGAGAAATTCTTTTAGCATTGCTTTTAACTTCAATTATGTCATATTTGTTGAACTATATATGTGTTTGTGCAGTAAAAGCAGCGGATGCGGCCAAATACATTATCATTCATCTGCAGAAGCTAAAAGTTTTAGTAGTATAGTGTGAAGAACTTAGGCAGCTTAATTATATGATTCTTTGCTATGAAGATCTACATTCCTTATATCCTGATAGGAGGATATTTTGCTGCACAGTATCATTAGTTGGAGATGGGTTGGACAATAACATAACATTAGATGACTCTAACTATATCTACAAAGATGAGTTGACAATTCAGTTAATTGGAGTTCTGGCTCACAACACAACAGTTAATCATAAATTTCACTTAATTGGAATTCCATGGCTCATCATAACTCTGAATCATAAAGAACAAAATCTGAAAGTAAAGACTCTAACTATATATACAAAGAGCAAAAACTTAACGAAAAATCTGCATTCAACTGCATACTCAATAAGTAGAACAATTCATATATAATGTAATAATTGTACAAATGAACAGATAATTTTAACGAAAAGAAAATTCCAAAAGTTTAACCATACACAACTTATAAACTTTATAATATACTTTACATGGCAGAACTAATAATATGTAGAGTCAAAAATAGGATGTTGACGAAAACAAATNTATGTAAGCATGTTGTGGATGCATACCTCCTATTAGAAGAGTAAGAATATTTCTGCATACCTGCCATAAGAAGATTATTTGAGAAATTCTTTTAACATTGCTTTTAACTTCAATTATGTCATATTTGCTGAACTATATATGTGTTTGTGCAGTAAAAGCAACGGATACGGCCAAATACATTATCACTCATCTGCAGAAGCTAAAAGTTTTAGTAGTATAGTGTGAAGAACTTAGGCAACTTAATTATATAATTTTTTGCTGTGAAGATCTACATTCCTTATATCCTGATAGGAGGATATTTTGCTGCACAATATCATTAGTTGGAGATGGGTTGCACAATAACATAACATTGGATGACTCTAACTATATCTACAAAGATGAGTTGACAATTCAGTTAACTGGAGTTCTGGCTCACAACACAACAGTTAATCATAATTTTCACTTAATTGGAATTCCATGGCTCTTCATAACTCCGAATCATAAAGAACAAAATCTGAAAGTAAAGACTCTAACTATATATACAAAGAGCAAAAACTTAACGAAAAATCTGCATTCAACTGCATACTCAATGAGTAGAACAATTCATATATAATGTAATAATTGTACAAATGAACAGATAATTTTAACGAAAAGAAAATTCCAAAAGTTTAACCATACACAACTTATAAACTTTATAATATACTTTACATGGTGGAACTAATAATATGTAGAGTCAAAAACAGGATGTTGACGAAAACAAAAAGCTGAAAGCTAAATGCTGCATTTTGATAGAAGACTGATTGCTCGTTCACCAAGTTGGAGCAAATGCTGATCATCAAATATGATTTTGGCTTCTGAATGTCTTAGTAAGCCACATATGATTGAGGAATGAGGACGTTTTATTTTATGGACAAATAACTGCTCCACCTCTACCCCTTAAAATGCAGCTCTAAAGCCAGCATAGTTGCTCCACACCAGCCATGAATCACCTCTAAGCGTCCATTAAAACCACCGTTAAAGTGCATCGACCCACCACGACAACAAATAAAGAGTATGCATATAAAAAATCACTTAAAATTGCATAAAAGAAATTCACAAGGCAGCAAAAAGTCATCTGTTAAATTCCAAAAGCCCAACCTATAAATTTGCATCTTAGCAACTGCAACACTTAGTTTTTTAACAGAATCACATCATGATTGATAAAGAAAATATGAAGTTGCATAGGTAGAGTCATTTCACCATATAACATATAAAATGCAGAACATTGAAGCGACAAAAGTACAAAATATATAAGTGCAGAGCAAGACGCATTGCAGTAAGACCAATCAGGGATTCTTTTCTTTCTTTACGACTCTGCGAACCTTGTTGCTAGACAGTTGAGAATTGAAGTCATCATCTGTTGCTACTGCTGATGCCTTATTAGCGGATCTAGTCTTCTTGTCATATGTCTTCAAAGGGGATATTTTTGCATTGCAAGCATCTCCATCGTCTAACACCGGCGATCCACTTTCTGATACACTTTTCTCAATGGGAGTTTTCAAAACAGACTTCAGCTGACTTTCGGCCATAAGATCCTTTGAAAAACCAAAACAATTTAATAGCAGCTGCAGAACCAATAAAAAATGGGGTAAAAGTTTTAATTTCATGAAATTTACCCCGAAAAGCTTATCTCCACTTGAGCTTTGTCCATCTAAAAAATGTGGATCCTGTTAAAGAAAAATAAAAAAGAACGACCATCCTATAAGTGGAAAAGTATTTATACATAAATTATATATGATGAGGTTTATATTTTGTCAAAAAATTTACATTCATATTGTCTTCGAATAAAGTATGGCCGTATTCCTTTAGAAGGTCATCATCATCAGTAAACTTAAGAACTTTGTAGACTTCGACCTGCGAGTCAATATTCTCTTGCTTAACAGTAACCTTGAACATAAATTTTTTATAAAGAGTATCGTCCATTTCACTTGGACAAGAACAGTCAGCATCCGCAAGTGAAGTCTGCACCAAATTTCATAAGTTAGAAATATTTTTATGGTTAATCAAATTAAATTTAGTAGTATACCTCAACTAATCTTTCCTTAAGTTCTTTTGCGGACTTCCCTATAAGTTGCATAGCTTCGCGATTCCAAAGCAACAATGAGATAAAAGCGGTTCCATCCATAACACGAACTTGAAGCCTATACCTGCAACTCAATTTTTATTAACCTTATGCATATTTTTTATAGATATAAGATTTTAAAATTTTCACTAAATAGTACTAACCTGTGAGTAACAGAAGACTCTTCTTCATTGCATTTGGCACAAAAGTATTTATTTCCAACTTTTTCCACCTTTCGACTACACTTGTTGCATGCCAAGTATGACCATCCCCGGTCAAGTTCCAAATTAACCAATTTTGCCGCAATCCAATAGCTGGATTCCTATTGAGTAAAAAATAAAGAATTATTGTAAATGAAAAACAGATAACATAAGGTAAATATAAGTGAGAAAGTAAACTAAACTCACTTGCGTGCACTGAACTAAATCCCTAATAGTTTTAAACAGTACAATTCCTTTGTCTAACTCATCTCTAACAGAGTAACTTTGTTGAGAACTTGTTCGAATGATTCGCTCAATGTTTGATTGACGTGGTGCAAGTAATCTGCATAAGTCAAAAATTGTAATTTATAAATACTATTATTATATTTTTTGTACATATAGAAAAGGATTATACACTTCACAAACCTGGATTTAAATTCAATAGACTGCGGCAACGTAGAATTTATCCATATCTTTGTCTGATACCAACAGCTACGCACTGAGTAATTACCTGTGTGTCAAATGAAATATGAATAAAAATTTGAAATTTAAAATTATTTATACAGTAAAATAAAAAAATACATGTAATTTATGGTAAACCTCGATATTTTTGAGGTTTCATATGCGGGAAAACAACAATCAAAGGCTCATCGGCAGATTCATTCAAGTGATGTTGAATTTGATCCACAAGTTCGCTCCATAATGTTGCCATAATCCTGTTCCTCATATACGTTTCATGGTAAGGTTAATAAACACACACACACATATATATATATATATATATATATATATATATGTAATGTATCAATAAATCTATTTTAAAAGTACTTACTGATCATCTTCGAGTACAACATTAATAAGGAAACTTTGGTCGTCTCCCTGATTGTATGTCTTAACATCTTCATAGGTCACAACCTGACCAACAACATCTATAAATATAAAAGTTAGTGACATACTTTAAGAAATAACATTTTTAACTTCATTTAAAATTTAAAATAATATTACCGAGTAATTCTGTCTCATCGACATCATGTTCATTTGTTAGTTGGTGAAAAGGGCGCAAGTTAAAGATGTTCATATGAAATGAAGGATCATTTGTTTCCTCGACAAATGTCTTTTGAGTAAATGTCAGCTTCAGCTTGTGTGTCGTAGTCCTCAACTTCAAATTATTTGGTCCGACTACAAAGTAGTTCATACGATATAAGCGAAGTTCATGTATCTTGTTCCTAAAAAACTTAAGAACATACTTTCCAATTGTACCATGTATACGGTCACCCTGCAAATTCAGATTCATTATATGTGTACAATTATGAAGCCAACAAATGTAAGCGCGTATATACTTTCATCACTGTGTAAAGTTGTTAAAAGATGTAATGTCAAAAACCAGAATGCTACAGTTGTTGTATATCAATTATGAAGGCAACATTAGCAGAAACAAAGCTGAAAATTGCATATATAAACGTAGTTTGTATATGTTCATCCGATGATCGTGTAACCAAGGCAAGCAGTAGCTAATANNNNTACAATTCCTTTGTCTAACTCATCTCTAACAGAGTAAATTTGCTGAGAACTTGTTCGAGTGATTCGCTCAATGTTTGATTGACGTGCTGCAAGTAATCTGCATAAGTCAAAAATTGTAATTTATAAATACTATTATTATATTTTTTGTACATATAGAAAAGGATTATACACTTCACAAACCTGGATTTAAATTCAATAGACTGCGGCAACGTATCTTTGTCTGATACCAACAGCTACGCACTGAGTAATTACCTGTGTGTCAAATGAAATATGAATAAAAATTTGAAATTTAAAATTATTTATACAGTAAAATAAAAAAATACATGTAATTTATGGTAAACCTCGATATTTTTGAGGTTTCATATGCTAGAAAACAACAATCAAAGGCTCATCGGCAGATTCATTCAAGTGATGTTGAATTTGATCCACAAGTTCGCTCCATAATGTTGCCATAATCCTGTTCCTCATATACGTTTCATGGTAAGGTTAATAAACACACACACACATATATATATATATATATATATATATATATGTAATGTATCAATAAATCTATTTTAAAAGTACTTACTGATCATCTTCGAGTACAACATTAATAAGGAAACTTTGGTCGT